CAAATTATAGAATATAAGAAAAATGATTAATGATTAACAAAACCATGCAATCCACTTACTTATTTAGGCGTAGGTTTTTTACTATCAACTGCATCACATAAGTCTTTTATTTCTTCTTTTTTTATATAAATATCATTCAGTAAAATTCTCAATTTATTTGCTTTACAAGGATATCCACAGTCTGGTTTCGTTAATTCAACGATGCCTGACTTCGAGTCTTCAGAATAATACATCTAAAAATATTTATATGATATAATAAATTAGTGTACAGTGATTATATGCTTAATTATTTGCAATAAATTATGTTAATAAAGTTTGTTATAAACATATTTTTTTTTATAATAACTCAATTATTCCAAAATAAAAATATTAACAAATAAATTAAAGTAGATGGACAGAAGATATTTATATTACTAAAAATGCCGTTAAAGCCAAATAAATAATTATAAAAATTAATAAACACATAATTTGGTTAGTAGATCTTTAATAATCTTTAGTGATATAAATCAAATTTTATAGAATGTTTACTCACTTTTAAAAAGAAATCATTTGTTTCTTTTATGTGATATATTTCAAATATAGTCAATCCTCCATGTTTAGGATAAAAGGATTTCATAGTTCTTTTACTTGGATTTTCTTTTATTTCAAAACCATTTTCACCACCAAAAGCTGCAAATATTGGTGCGACAATTGCACCATTTCCAACATATAAAAACATTCTCGTGTTACAAGGTTGTAACTTTTTATCTTTCATCAAATTAATTGTATCGAACATATGTTTTACGTGTAAACCTATAAAATAATTTAAATAACACATTTTACTGATTATAATTAATTAGTATTACAAGCTAATAAAAAACTAATTAAATTTTTTAATGAAATTTTAAATCCACTAAAAATCAATGTCATCAATTTTAGTAAATGTTATGATCAAATATCAAACTAAACTAACTTTATAATAATTTATATTTCTAAAATTGGTTTTGTTTTGTTATTAGTCAATTGAATTTAAAGCAGATCATCAGAAGCATGTAAAATATTCAATTATTTTCGGAAAATAATATTAATCGTATACTTACGTCTAAGGAGTATGAAAAATACTATCTTATCGTATATAATATATATGCATTTTACATATAAATTTAAATGAACACTATTTAGGCATAAAAATATTTAAGTAATATATTGTCTATTCCTATTGTATATAAGACTTTAATAATAATTTGTAAAAACTGTTGCAAGATTATAGGATTATTGCAAAGTTGAGAGATAAGTTTTATATTTTATTTGAAAAAAAAAAATCTGATTCAATCAATCAAGTATAAACTTTTGAGTCATTTATTTACGAAAATCCTGTCTCTCACAAATTAATTACAAATTGTCAAAAATAAAGTATAAAATATGATGAATTTAAAAAATACCTTGTATTATGATAAGTTTCCGAATAAAAAATGTATTATAAAATTAATATTTCTCACCTCCAGCCATAGATTTTAAGGCATTTGTTGCAAAAGCTGCCTCAACATAATCATTCATTAATTCTTTGAATTGAGAATATATTTCATCTGTTAACCAATCTGGTCGTTTTATATTACTTATTTCCTATAAAAGAATAAAAGAAATTTGTATAAAAAATGCGTTAAAACAAAAAAAATTGGAGCAATAAGAATAAAAAATTATCAAATCAAATCACAATTGAATATACCTTTTTTTCTAATTTGAAAAAGAGATAATAAAAAAAATATTCAGAACGAGCGAATTATTGCCAAAATATAAAATTAGGTAAATAATTTTAGAAATACATAATAAAATATTCAACAAATTAAAAATAACGCAAATAAAATTACATTAGGTTAAAATATTTAATCATGAATTTAATAATTAAAATTTAATTACCTAACAATTCAAATTGTACCTAATATTTTTATTAAATAGGAGTAAAGTTTGGATTAGAAGCAATAGCTTGGTAAACCATATCTTAACTTTTAAACTTTAGAAAATTATTTTTTCATGAACCTACTTCATTATAATACAACTCGTACAATGAAAACAATTCATTCAACTTGTTTGGTTGTAGTTCTAATTTAGTATTTCTTCTAAACACGTCCATCAATTCCTTATATTTTCCTAGTACCTTTTCTCTTAGTTCTCGTTGTAGTATTTTGTTTTGTTCTTCCAAATATTTATCGCAATTGTAATAATAGTAACTAGCCTAAAATTATTATAAATTTAATTAATAAATATTTTAAATTTTTAATTGATTTATAGTTACCCACACTGTCAGTGTAATTTGGATCTTCAACAGTCGACCATTGTCTTTCAGTCCAATTTCGATTTAGAACATATTTCTGTTCCTGTAATTAAATAAAAGTTAATTCAAAATAAAAAATAAATTTCCATTATGAAATTATAATGAATAATATTATTGCAGTTTGATAATATACTGAAATAGTAGAAATGAAATATCTCTATATTTATAGTGTTTATTTAAATTTATGTAAAATGTATATAATAAATATACCACTAATATTATTTGCCGAAATTAATAGATCATTTAAGATGCTTCTGATAATCTGTATGAAATTCAATTTGAATATAATAATTATAAAACTATGTTTTAAAAACAATTATATTTCTGAATGTCAGAAAGTTTCAGTTTTATGTTTTAATATATTTTTTTTTTATTAAATTCGATTAGTTTTGAAAATATTTGATTGAAATTATGACTTAAATAATATTTTCTATGATAATTATTGTCTCTTACAGATTTCCTCAATCCTTCTTGCAAAATGAGAGCGCTCTCCAAAGTTCTTTTTGAAAATTTATTTTTCACTCCAGAGGTTTTAACGAGATATTTTGTAAGAGAGTGATCACGCAAATATTCATTATATCTTTCTCTCAGTTTTTTCCCAACATCATACATAGTTTCTTTACCTAACTGTAAAATAAAATATACATATAATAGTAAAACATAAATCAAATTCAATTATTGTGAATTTTTTGTTTACCTGTAATAGTTCACCTGGTTGGAATGTATATTTATTAAATCGTTTTTCATATTCCAAAGCATATTTATCAGGATAATGCTCACCATTACGAACAATCTGTAAAAACACTCGAATAAAAACCAAAACATTATTTTAAAAGAATATAAATAAATTATATATTAAATAACAATTAAAACTAGAGAGGACATAATCAATAATAGATAAATATCAATAATAATTTATAAAGCCTTAAAGAGAACTTTTGATACCCAATTTAAATATATTAAAACTTATTTGAAAACTGAACTTAAATTTTTATATTTAATCACTATGCTTATATTTTTTGTAATTATATATAATGTATAGATGATATTAGTAATTTCATAAATAAAATAATTTTCGAACAAAATATTTACCGCAAAAACTAATTTCAAATTAGTTTCATTTAGTTCCAGGGTATTATGACAGTTTAGAGTTATCAACAAATATGCAAACAAGCTTATTTTAAGCATTTTTTATTTATAAATATATTTATTTTAGATATTTTATGATTATTTCTATTAGATATATTATAATAAAACAAGTAGTTTTTAAACAGAAATAATAATAATTTTAAATATCGACATAAACAGAAATTTTATGTCGATATTTACCTATCATCAAATTTATTATAGGTTGTGCAAGCTTTTGTAAACAAAAATACCAATAATATTATTATGGCAAGAGAATTACTAAATTTATTAAACGGTACAAATGTTCCACTAATTTTTTAGTAATTGCGTCAATATTTAACATTTGTTGTTTTTTTGTTGTTTAGATACTTCTTAAATTTTTCATATCCTAGCATTTGTGCAAAAATAAAACATAAATAATTTCAATAGAAAAAAAGTTGCTGCCTATATATAATATGTATATTACTTTTGCCAACTTGCATAACAGCAAATTTCGTAATATCAATTTGTAGAACAAATATACGCGATTTGCAGATAAAATCAATTATTACAAATGAGAAATAATAACGTATTCACGCTGTAGATAAAAGCGATTTTAAAGTAGGTAATGTGCTTCTGAATATTAGACAAAATTTAACGATTAGTTTTATCATTTGTAATATAAATAAAATCTCTTTGTATATTAATCAGCCTTGATATCTAATAAATTTAATTATTCACTTTAATTATAAGTAAATCTTTTTGAGTGCCATTGTTCAGAATCGTAACTTTGCGTAAAGTGACATAAAGTATGATTAAGTTCACAAATAATTTGCATCTTTGCGTTGTCGAATAATTATATTTAATAATTTTTCTAATAATTATAAGTTATGATAATATACGATAACCAATTAATTGTGCGGAACTACTTTGTTTTGAACTTATATTTTGAGTTAAATTGACTATCTAAAGATTAAATAAAGTACACGTTTTCAAATATTTATTTAACACCTTTTAAACTAGGCTATTTCTCCTAAAAGATAATAAGACTAAAAGTAGTACTTCAAACACGTTTTTAATTTAGTTAATCTATTTTACAATTTCTAAATGTTATTACTTTTTCCAACCAGACCCTACATTGCACGCTTTTAGCCAGTCTTGCATATTAACAGCTAATTGTGAAGACTGTAATTTCTTCTTGAGTTCTTGATAGCTACATGGATAAGTACAGTCGTTTATTTTTAACTCCTCAATTGGGCTACTTGTACTTCCACTTACGAAAACCTGAAAAACAGAAACGTAAAAAAATGCTAAATGCTATATAATGCTAATTGTCAAATATTTGATTAAATTTAATAGAGAACTATCATTCTAAATACCGCATTAAATAAAGAAAATTTAATTCATACTACAAATTATTCGAATCGCCTGAATAAACACCTTAATAATGTGATTTATACTTGATATCTTAAAAAATATACATTAATGATAAATTTTTAATTTAATTACCCTTAGCCAAAAGTCATTACTGCTATCCAATTGATGTGCTTCGACTATCACCATACCACCATGGAAAGGTCTGAAGCTATTCACAGTCACATTGACAACAGTTTCATTTTTTTCCGGTTCAATTGAGGCCACTTCATATGAATGGGTAAAGCCTTTGCTACCACCTAAGGCTGCCAAAAAGGGCGATACTGTTTTGCCATAGCCAACATTTACTAACATTCGTGTATCGCAAGGTTCCAGTTTTCCATTAAGCTTGTCGTCCATTCAACAAAGTATTGAAGCATACGACCTTGAAAAGGGATAGAATTAGCGTTTAGAATAACATTTTGAACCTTTTTTAAACAAGATAAATTTATGTTTTAAAATGGTACACAAGAAGTTTAAAATATGTGCTTTATTTTTGAATTTTTTTATGTTTCTGTTAAAGTTTACATTGAAAACAATTTAATTTTCCTATGTTCAAACTCGATGATAAACACGCGAGTGATTAAGTCCATAGAAAAACTATCGGTTGCATGTTACTCCGGTTACTACTAAATTCAATTCTTTATGATTTTCCAATTTTTGTACGTTTTGCTTTATATTCTGTACATTTGTTAAATGTTTGTGATAAATGACAATTGACTACAAACCTCCAGCAACAGTTTTTAAATAATCTGTTGAATATGATGCATTAACGTATTCTCGCATTAACTCATAGTAAGTATACCATTTGTTGTTATGTAGCCAATGAGGAAATCCAATACCACTCAGTTCCTAAATTAATATATATAGATATTTATTTGGTTATTTTCATGCATATTTTCTATCAAATTTTCAAGAATATATTTCTTAATAATTTTTCAAATGAAACATTCACAGTATTTATAAAATTCAATTAAAATGTTCAAAAATTTGTAATCATACTCACGCTAGTTTCATATAATTCGAATAAGTATTGCAATTTTGACAAATTATTGTAATCCAAATCGGCTTCGGTATTTTCTTGTAAAGCCTTCCACAATCCTCCAAAGCCGGAGTCATTTTTGAATTTTGTTATTAAGCTATCATACAAAGCCTTATTTTGTGCAGGCCGATACTCTTTACATTTTAAGTAATAGTCCAAAGCCTTATAAATAAAAAAATACTTTTGACAAATTTTTAATTATATATAGTTTTACACAGATTTGCAGTATTAAATCATAATAATATTGTCAAACAATTTAGTAAATCTTTAAAAACACATAAAAAATAATTATGCAAAACATAAGTACATATTAAGAATTATTCAGGTATTAATTTATCAACAATATCATCGTGCCTTAAGTCGAATTGCTTGCACTTCATGTACCATAATTTAAAAGATGTAGAAACTTTAGAATTTTTTGAATTCTTCGAAATAATTTGTCCTTTGAGAAAAAATATGTATAAGTTTTTATACAAATTATAATTTTGACGAAAAATTGTATTCGCACACACGTTTGAACAAACATGCTACACACACATTCATACATACACACAAACAAACACACACATACATCAAATTTTTCTACTATGTCTAAATGTTTAAAATGTTAAGAAGACTTTAAAACTTAAACGAAAAAGATAGTGAACAATTGTTTAGCTTCGTAATAAAAAATATTGAGTATCAAGAAATATGTAAAAAGCAGGCAAATTATTAAAATGGGTTAAAAAAATGTGGCGGCTACATATTATTAAATTAATAATTAAAATTGTAATGCCTACTTACAGCATCAGTAAACTCGTCATTTCTAGTCGAAGCCAATTTTCTTGTAGACCATTTTCTTTTCAAGCTATGCTTTTTATTCTGTTGAAGATAGATTTTTTTTATACGAGTTATTATTTATTAACTTTTAATAATTATTAAAAATATTTCAAATATTATCAACTTCATAGAAAATTTCAAATTATTTCATTAAATAAAACATAGATCAAGATAACTTTTTGTTCGATGATGTAAATTATGAAGGTTTCACTTAGTATAATCAAGATATGCATTTACTTGCAACGTCTTTGGAATGTTAGACGATTATCAAATTAAAACTTTGATAAATAAAATTCAAAATCAAAGTTTGGGTTTGGTTTTGATATAGCAGCAGATAAGTTAAAAATATTCTATTTTCTAATAAAATTTTTAAAGTGAACTAGTATGTTGTGAGTTAAAAAATTAATAATTATTATTATATTACCTTTTGTCTAAGTGCTGCTCTCACAATTAATGCGCTTTCACGTGAATTAATTGTGAACTTACTTCCAACAGCAGTGACCTTTACTAAACGTTTTGTGACGTAAGATCTGCTCAGGAATTCCGGGTACCAGTGTCTCAGGTTTTCACCAGCCTCATACATAGTAAGTCTTCCTAGCTGAAGGAATAAACATAATATTTTTTAATTAATTTTTATATGTATTCATTAAAGTATTACTTTAATTTTTTAATAAAATTTGTATTTAATTTGAAAAATCTTTCAGATTTATTAACATAGACCAAAGTTTAAATTGCTTTTACTCCTAATTTTTTTCTTCATTTCATGTTATTTGCATAACATTAATTATAAAGTTTATTTACTTTTTTCTAACATTTCGATACTAATGAGTACTAACTTCACTTCTATACTTCTTTTGTATAATTTTGAGAAGTTTTTTTTGGCACTTTTTGTACTTATGTCAATTATTGTTGGAAAGTATAATAATGAGTATATTTAATAGTGTAGATTGACAAATATACTTGCCTTGGTCAATTCCCCACGAGGAAATTTGTAATGCTTCCATTCATAGCTTGGATTTGTTTTAATCATGTGTTCATCGGGAAAACTTTCACCATTTCGCATTACCTTTATGTATAATATAGTTAATTCAATTTTTAATTTAATTAAAATTCATGTAACATTTTGTAAATTCTTACCACAAACACAAATTTTAATGTCAAAGGATCTTTCAAATCTTCTATTTTCGGCACATTTTTTACATTCTGATTTGGATCCTTAACAGATTCTGGAGCACTGAAAACCAACAAAAAATTTGATAAAAACACATAAAAAAGAGCATACATATTTTACAAACTATCCGTCATGCATAGAAAATAGAGTATCAAAATTATGATGTCTTCATGTAATAAATAAATTATATTGACGCATTTGAATTTTGAAATATCTACTCAAATATACAGTAATTGAATTAAAGAAGAGAAAATTACATCAATTGATATATAGAACAAATATTTGCGTAATTGACTGTATATCATTGAGAAATATAGATTTCAACAATTTGATTTGTATGCGAAAATTTCTAAGTTCATTATCACAAAATATGACGAAGATTTGAAAAAGTTTTGAAATTTGGTTTTATACATAAAAAATATGGTACAAAATAATACTGTGTCTTTTCCCACTCTTATACACATGCACAATATATATATATATATATATATATATATATATATACACACTTTGGTTGATTCAACGAAATTATCTGGCTTATCCTGTTCATATTTTAATTTTGTTTAAATAATGATTAAAAATAATTTTACTTTTGCATGCAGAATATTAAAAAATTATTAATTTAAATAAACTATTTTGATATGTTATTAATTATCTTTTTCCAATCTTATTGAATCATGAAAATTTATAAGTGGATACTTTATTGAGTAAATAAGTACTAAATTTTGTTAAGTTTAATACTAGAGTATTTTATTTGTATATTAATTTCAGTTTCTCGTAAATTGCTAACTCTGGATATAAAAATATCTAGGTCTTTGAAAAGTAAGTTAGTATTTCTGTATTATTTTTGAGTTTGTATATATTCTGCTAAAAGTGAGTTACGTTTGCAAAAGATTTTTTTAACAATTCGATGAATATCGATTTAAATTTTAGGCTTCCTATAGCCGTTTGTAATTTCTGAATATTATTACTGGAAATAGTTCTGAATAATACTGAAAAACTGTTGATTATATTATTAAATTAAGAACAAAAAAAATTGAGTATTTCAACCATTCCTAAATCGATTAAATTTAGTTTTGCGAAGAAACACTTGTTTAGTACAAAACTATACCTTGTTAATGGTAAACTTAATTATTTTATTTTAAATCATATGCCACAGTCAAAACGCAGAGCTAGTTTCGTAACATCGACTATTTTGCTGTTTATTAAATTACGTCAACTAAATCAACGTCAATCTAACGCAAATATTACTTATAAATATACCATGTATACTCCCTTGGAAAAATTAGCTCCGTAATTACTGTGATTATAAAGCAGCAATTCGAAGATGTGGTATTCAAAGTTTTTATATATATGTGCACTTATTACATTTATTAATGGTGATGACAAAAACCCAAAGAAAATTGCACCTAAAGTGCCAAAGCTAAAATTTGTATTTATTGTAAGTAATAAAATTATTCATTAATTTATATAGCCACTATATTTTACTACTATAAGTCATATAGTAGATTGCAATATAAAAAATGTACTTAATCTTAAAAATACGTTACAGTTATACAAATTTTAAAAAAACGCTAGTGTATTAATAAAGTATAAATACATGTAAAATTAGAAGGATAGAGTTTATCAAAATCAACAAATAGGGCGTATGGACTCAACATTTTTTTAATGAAACCATGTATAGTACAATCATGTTTTTTCTTCCAGTTTTCAATCATTTGTTAGAATATTAGATTCAAAAATTTTAACCTGAATAAAATAAATTTTCTTTTTGAAAATGTTCTAAAAATATTTTTGTTCTCAATAATATTAAATTTTTATTGTAAAAATAAAAATTGGTATTTACAAATTAAAAAACTATACATATTTTCAATTTAAATCATTTATATAAAATTAATTTTAAAAGCAAGAAAATATGTTTCAAATATTAAGTGAATAAAAATAAAATTATACTTTTATTAGTAGATTTAGTATTTGGGAGTAAATGCAATAAAGAACACAATGAAATAGTTAATTCTCTCAGAACAATTAATCAATACTTTCATTGTGCTTAAAATTTTACATTTCAGACCGTAAGAGGCTCTGCACATTGGCCTTGTGATTATCCCGGAGGGCCAACAATTTTCGGAAGATCTGAACTCACTAGTCGATTGAGTTGGGTACGTTAGAAATGAAAAAATGTATTAATTAGAATTATATTTATTTGATTTGGTTTATCATTTTCTAGCGTGGAAGAAACGATGCTTATGATTATGGAGTCGAAATTGGTGAAATGTATAAAGAGAAGTTTAATATAGAACAATGGAACAAAACTAAATACTTGAGCTTAGCTAGTAGTTCTCCCAGAACTCAGCAAGCTGCATTAGTTTTAGCAGCCGGATTGGAAAATAAGGTAAATCATATGAAAATAAAAATTATTTGTGTAAGTTTATTCCAAAAGAAATTACGTAAATAAAAATATAGCTATTCTACTTTCTAAATGAATTCGTAACTCTTTGTATTAATAAAGTCCCAAGTTTAACCCCGTGGTAATTATCTAGTGAACCTTAACAAAACCTACCTCTTTCTTTCAGAGGTACAAAAAAGATCGTATATGGTCCTCAGAAAAAAAGAAGACTACTCAATTTCCAGGAATGCAGGAGGTACATATATAATAATAATAATTAGTTATATACTCACTAAGTCATTTTATCATCATTTCAATGTTTTCAGTATCTCAAATTTTATAGTAAAGAACAATGCCCAAGATTTTTACAAGAAGTTGAAAAGAATTATCCTAAAACAGATCGTGAATTAGAGCTCCTGAAAGCTATAGTCATTCTGAAGAAAAAATTGGCACAAAAAACGACTTCTATCAGAACTCCACATGATATCTGGCTAGCATACGAATCGCTATATAATGTGGTACGTAATAATATATTTCATTATGGAGACTTGTGCTATTAGTATAATATTGAATTGATTTTTTTGCAGTTTTATTCATACAGAAAAAAATACCATAATAAAATGAAGTATTGGAGACAAATTCGAAACGAGCTCAAGCAATATTCTAAACAGTTCATGTGGTCTTCATTGACAGCAGATAATACACTCAGAAAATTGGCTTCAGGTAAATGAAGATACAATTATATTTCTATATTTGTACGTTATATTTCTACGTCGGGTATAAATTTAAGAAAATCATCAAATTCATATTTATGTATTTCAATTATCTTTTACTTAAACATGCTCGATTATTTAATAGTATTACATAATATCATATGTATTGTTTATAGTATTTTCTTCTTATATTAGTTAACAAATTCTCAAATGCTTTTTATAGGTACCGATAACCTGGAAACGCATTTTCATTTGCTCATTTGAATCTTGCCGAAAACATTTTAGAATAAAGTGTTTCATTGCTATAGTCTTTATCTTTTCCATCAATAAAGTAAATTTCCAATTAAAAATGTATAAAAAATGACAATTTAACCCAAAAATTTAGTTAAAAAATATAATAAGATATATAAGTAGAACTATAAGATTTATATTAAAGAACAGTGATAAGTCTGAATCACTACAAAAATTAGATTATAGAATAAAGAATAATATATATGACTATTGCTTAATCAGGTCCTATAGTATTTGATGTTCTGCGAGATATCAAATATATTAGAGACAATCATACAGAAAATAATAAGCCGGTACCAAAAAAGATTGAGCTAGAACCAAAAAATAATGAGCCTGCACCAAAAAAACATGAACATGTATTATCAATACTAACGGTTCCACAAGGAGTATTTGCAGCTCTAGTGGCAGGATTTGCCCCGAATGGTACTACAGTAGACGGAAAATTGTTTGATGCTGATGATTTATATCCAAAGCATGGTGCAATGCACATAATTGAACTGTATCATGTAACAGCAGATAAATGGCATGTCAAGGTAAATGTTGCTAAAGCACATAAAAATAATTTTTAACATATCATGAAATTACAATTTTATTATATTAAATTTTTGTTATGTATCTATACATGTTTTTTTTAACAGATTCTATATAGAAAAAAGAAGGGAGATTGTTTGAAACCTTTGCGCCTACCAGGATGCAATAAAGAAGGAAAGCTGCCTCCAAACTTTTGCACGCTTAAGCAAATTAAGGAGGCTGTTAATCGAACTTCTTTAGGACCAATAAAACATAGCAATCTTTGCACGCAAGTTTTAGAATGAATAAATGACAAAAATGTATAACTGTCAATAATTTACAGATGTCATTAGTTTGAATGTTATATCATAAATTGTAATATTAATTTATATTATATCAAAATATTAATAATAACAAATGCTCCGACCATACCTATAGTACAATGTCATAATATGAATCAGATCCAGTTTCAATTTTTTAATACATTGACATTATGTACCTGATTTTATTTTAATTCTGATTTTGTCTGAAATTCCAATATGCTAGAATGCCAATAAAATACTTGAAAAACACAATTTACTATTGATAAAGAACGGGAATCTCAAAGTAAATATTATAAAGGTTATAAATATATATTACAAACAACTTATATATTTAATTTAAAGATATATACTTCTCGAATTAAAAAAAAAGCCTTCTACCTCTGAACGAACTTACAACAAAAGTTTTAAATATTACAAATTAATTTGTTTGCGTTAAGTACTTGTTGAAGAACAAAAAAATAATAAATATCAATCATTACATATAATCGATTGTTTTGGAAATCTTTAAATATTTTCCAAAAATATCCCACTTGCACTTTAAATACTTTTAGCACAATTCTTACTATATTATAGTAGTTCTTAACTTTTCGAAAAAAAAGTCTAAAATATTATGATTTTTTAAAAAATTCTGATACAATAAAACTGGTTTGTCGACTTTTCAAGCCCATCTAGATCGTTTAGTACACAAATTGGAAAAATTATGCATATGTATATGTAAAAGTAAAATATGTTTTGGCGATTTCAGAAATTCGATGGTAAATAGTTTTCCGTAATCAGTAGAGCTGTTTTATTTTTTAGTTTTATTTAACTTAGTTAATTAAAAATATATACAGCATTGTTTTTGTAAAAAAAACAAAAAAACGTGAATTGGTTATTATTTAAACAACAAACACATAATTTTTTGATCATTTTTTTCTGTTTGATGTAGTATAGTGCAAATAAAGGACGAGTTATTTTTTTATTTAACTTAAGTTAATTTCAGAATCAATTAAGAATTGGCACTAGCTTAACTGTTACTTTTTTATTTTGTTTTCGATCAATTTTAAAATTTTTTAAATTATTTTGAGTTGTATAAATTTTGAGTAGTATATGCTCAAACTCATTTTTATCAACTCAATTATTTTCTATATCTTAAAGTTTATGCAACTTGCTTTAAGAAAGCAATAATACATACTTGTAGATCCATAAATTTTTTGATGTTACAAATATTAATTTTAATTAATCATCGGCAGTAATTGTGAAAATTTTTGTAAAATTGGACCATAGCAAAATATTAGTGCTTATGTGCGCTATTTTACACTATTCTAAATAGTTTTACACAGTTCTTAAATTTATGGATTGTGGTACGTTTTATAATTTATATTAATAGTTTGCATACTGGAAAACGGTAGGTAATTAAGAAATGAGTACTCTAAGTATTTATGGCAGTTTACTACTTAAAAAAAATTAGTTAAAAAAGTTCATGGTCAATAGACCATAACCATATAGTTTAAAGTTACACATAATTTATGTATTATATATTATTCAAATTGTCGAACAGGGTTTTGCAACGTAGAATATTTTGTTATTAATAAATTTACACCAACTGAATCAACATCAAACCAACGCAAATATAACTTATATATACAATGTAAGTACCATTGGAAAATTTAATTTTGCAATTTCTAAGATTTTAAATGCAAAAATTCGAGGATGTGGTATTCAAAGTTTTTATGTATATGTGCACTTATTACATTTATTAATGCCAAGGACGAAAACCCAAATGAAAATGTAGAGCGGACACTGAAATTTGTATTTATTGTAAGTAGTATTTATTCAGGAATTTCTACATCCAAATAGGCATATCAAATAGCAAAAAGAGGCATAGCCAAATGGCAACCTCAATTTGAATGTAACTTATGAATGCATTGTAGATATACTTACAGTAGAACTCCAATTATCCGAATTAATGAAGACCCGGACCGATTCGGATAATCAAATCGGCGATTCGGATAGTCGGAGTTCGGATAATTGGAGTTTGGATGATTGGAGTTCGGATAATTGGAGTTTTACTGTATATTTATAACAAAATATTGTAATGAAACATCTTTCATTCTATTGATTCATCCAAAATTTTAGATTTTTAAAAACTTCAATCAAATATAGTTCAATAACCAATAAGTTCATAATTCTTATAGTAAAAAGAGCCCATTAGAGAAAATAAATAATTTTTGTAAAAACGGTAATACGAATTTGGAAATTGGATAATATTTTTTTACATATATTTGAAAATATCTTTAGATAAATTTTAATTCTCAACAAAATTATTATTTTTTAAATCAAATTAAATATAAACTATTATTAAATATTTTTTTTAACCAAAATGCTATCTTTTCATAATTCAATATTAATTTTGATAATAGAAAATTATGTTATTATTACAATGTTTAGTATTCATCCAATATGTACCTTAATGGTTGTAACATATCATTGTTTGATATAGGAAGAAATAATAAATTTACTTGAGGGCAAAATTGTATCTTGCGAGAAACATTAAAAAAATACTTGCACTGTGAATAATATAATTATTTATTTATTTTAGACTGTAAGAGGACCAGCACATTGGCCTTGTGATTATCCCGGAGGGCCAACAATTTTCGGAAGATCTGAATTTACTAGTCGATTGAGTTGGGTACGTTAAATATTGAACAATTCATTAATTAGAATTATATTTATTTGATTTGATTTATCATTTTCTAGCGTGGAAGAAACGATGCCTATGATTACGGTGTAGAAATTGGAAAAATGTACAAAGAAAAGTTTGGAATAAAAAAATGGACCAAAGATAAATACTGGAGCTTTGCCAGTGGTTCTCCCAGAACTCAACAAGCCGCATTGGTTTTAGCAGCCGTGTTGGAAAATAAGGTAAGCATGGGCAACTATATAGTAAAACAATGTTTTTATAATTTTATATACAAACAATAAAATATAAACTAAAACACCTTGTATCACATATACGACATATTCTTGCACTCATAATCGTTATAAAATGATAAAACTATAATCAATTGTAGAATTATATTCTGATTTAAAATTAACATTATCCATAAAAATAATCCGAAATGTACATTCTCATAGTATTTTTTCACTCACGCCTATTACTAATTTCAATTCAATTTTATTAACACAAAAACTACCGATTAAGTATTGCACATATTGTAAGACTTAGTTGTGCAAAATTTTATTCATTAAAATTAATTTTCTTTGAAGTATTTATGAATTTGTAATGTTAAACTATTTGTCAGTGTTTGTAATTGCATTACCCTTTATCCATGAATTTAGAAATATCATTTGTCGAATGACATGAGTAATATTAAAATACTAGGTTTAAATATAGTTATTTGGTCAATGGAACAGTTTTCTATTCTATTATTATATTTATTCTTATGTTTTTTTAACTATTGTTTTTCTATTTATTTATTATTATTATTATTATAGTTAGTTTTTTCCTTTACTTTACGTTATAGATTTGTTCAGATTATGTTCTCACTGTAGTTCATAGAATTACTTACTCTATTCTGATTGTTACATGCAAATTTAATAAAAAAAAACGTAATTTTATATCATTTAAGTTAAACCAGTCACTTGCTTTCAGAGGTATAAAAAAGATCGTATATGGTCTATAGCAAAAAAGAATACTACACAATTTCCAGCGATGCAGGAGGTACATCTACAATTTAGAATACTTGAGACAATTAACGATGTCAACTTATAACTATTTCAATGCTTTCAGTATACCAAATTTTATAGTGCAGAAAAATGTCCAAGATTTTTCCAAGAACTTGAAGTAAAATATCCCATTATAAAAGATGAAGTCATAAAAGCTATAGCCGTTTTGAAAGAAAAAATTGTACCAAAAAGAACTGCTATCCAAACTCCACAAGATATCTGGCTAGCATACGAATCGTTATATAACGTGGTATGTAATAATATATTAAAATTTAATGACATGTGTATTACAAAATATCAATCGAATATTTTTTTTTAGTTTTATTCATATAGAAAAAAAAAATTATCGCAAAATGAAGTACTGGAAACGAATTCGAAGCGAACTTAAACAATATTCGAAACTGTTTATGTGGTCTTCTTTGACAGCAGATGAAATACAAAGAAAACTGGCTTCAGGTAACTCTATAAAAATTAGTATTCTAATTTTGTAGATAATAAAACCAGTATAATATAAAAGGATTTAGAATATCATAATCCCGATTAGATTCCAAAAATATCAATAGATTGATTGATACTTCTTCTTCAACAGGGCCTATTGTTTATGATGTTTTACAAGACATACAGAAATTTAGAAATAAGAAAGGACAATTTTTAGAACCAGAAAATAATGAACGTAGATTATCAATACTAACGGTTCCACAAGGTATATTTGCAGCTTTAGTAACAGGATTTGCTCCAAATGGAACTACTATAGATGCAAAACTATTTGATCCTGACGATTTGTATCCTGAGCATGGTGCAATGCACATAATTGAATTATATCAAACCATTGATAATAAATGGCAAGTCAAAGTAAGAATTACTAAACCTTGCAAAAACAATTTGTTCTTTTATAAAATTAGTATTCTGTTGTTTTTATACCTTATTTTTTAACTCGCTTTGAAATATGGGTCTATAGAAATATGCTTTTTAACAGATACTTTATAGAAAAAAAAAGAAAAATTGTTTAAAACCTTTGCGTCTGCCAGGATGCAATAAAAAGGGAAAGCTGCCTCCTAATTTTTGTACGCTGAATCACTTGAAAAGTGCTGTGAACGAAATTTCTTTAGAACCAGTAAAACACGATAAACTCTGCAAGGATCCTGCAGAATTTTATAAATAAATCACTTATGCAATTAATTTAAATGTTTCACATTACTTTGTAAATCAAAATCTTCTACGATACCAATAGTACAAAGTCATAATATAGGCCAAAAACTTTCTTGATTGTATAATACAGAGACTATGTACATATGCTAGATATATTACTGACATTCATGAGCACAATTTCGTAGAATTGTTGATCAATCATTTTTTTGCAAATTGATTTTGAATAAATGTAAAATATATACAATCATATTCTAATTTTATTTATTAAACTAATTGACATGTCCCTGTTACCATATTTTGCTAATAATATTGACGAGTTTGGAAACAGTAATTAATTAGTAAGTATTTCAATTAATTATTATTACAGTTAATTATGTTAATTTGTAAGTAAAATTTTGCATATGGTACAATTAAAATTAATATATAAATCACCATTTACACGTTTTTATAAGTAAATTTAATTCAATATTTTTTCAAATTTGTTTTATCTTAGACATGATATAAGTAAACTAAATAAAATATCCATTGAGTATTACAGAGTCAATATTGATAGCAATATGACTTAAATATTTCAAATATACCTAGTACTTCGAAATAATTTAAGCATTTTCTAATTTTTTTTTTTTTTTTTTTAAATTATTTTTATTTTTATTGGCCTCGCTTACTCGAGCATTTAGCCACCTGCATTATTCTATACAATCATATATTCTACACAATCTTTAATTTTATACTATCTTCTTCATATAATCCTATTCTTTTATCTATACTTATTAACTTATCTTCATTCTTCTTTACTATCTTCTCATTTCATCTTCTAACAACATATTTCTTCTTCTCTTATACTTCTCATTGCCTCTTCTAAATTCTTCTTACTTCAATTCATTTTTAATTCTAATTTTCTAATTTTTATACATTTTGATTTTACATACATATCTTTTTTATTACAATTCATAATTCTATTATTATTCCGACTTAACTACTTAATAATTTTTCAAATTCTTGCCGGAGATTCGAACTCGGAACCTCCAGCATGTGAATCGGGAACGCTACTCTTGAGCTAATCCCGCCACCATTTTCTAATTCGATCTAATATTTCGTATAGCTAAATTTTATTTAATACATAATGGCACAAATATACAAATAATATTGATTGAGTAACACAAAATTAAAACATGCAATAATTCAGACTTTTGCGTCAACATCTATTTTCAAAATACATTGGACGTCAAAATTACACAAATATATCTTATAAATACAATGAACTTTTATGTAAATTTTGTAGTTTTCTTGTTGTAGTTCATAGTGATGTTGTCGTTTGTGGTATAATAAGAATAATGATACTTTTAGAAATTTTATTTATATGTGTACTATTTGCAATTGGAAAGTGCGAAGAAATGAAAAATAATGTTGACCCAGTAAAGCCGGAATTAAAATTTGTTTTTGTAGTAAGTGTACTAAAAATCTATATTGTAGGGGGAAGTCCCGTAACGCCGGACGGCACCAAACACCGGACACTCTGTTTAACACGTATTATTTAAGAGAGTATAAATCTTTTCATTTCAAAATGCACTTGAATAAAGTTTTGATTGACAAAAAAAATCAAAATAGAAGTGAAAGGGGCACGAGGGGCACGCAGGTACAGAATCACGCGCCAAATCTTGCCTGTGACGCACACGGCAAGAGCAACCCTTTTCTGTTTCAGGCGCAAAATTACGGCGCAAAATTACCTAAATATCAATGGAAGTAATTCTAGCATTCTATTTATGCATTTACATTTGAGTGGTATGCAAAGATAAAAGTTGTACTTGATTGTTAGCATCCATAAAATGGTAGATTATTATTAGAGCTTTTAACAAATTTTAGTAGGTGCCACCAAGTAAACAAAAATGTTTGCCCCTTAGCACCGGACACTAAGTCGTCCCTTTGTGCCAGACAGTACATTGATATTTTTTGTGAGAATTTACGTGATTTATTCCAATTATTTAATTTTGTTTTGTATGAGCTAACGGTCACTACATACCCCCATTCTTCGTATTTCCTATTCAAAGAATGAAAATTTTATGATGAATGCTCTAGCTGAGAGCATCGGTGTGGTCCAGCCAAAAGGGTGGTTAAATAGTGATTTTTTGCGATATCTAAGAATATTCGTCAAAAACACATGTAATTATTCCAAAGTGTGGAGACGACTACATATGTGAGCAATGCAGTTATTTTGAAATGTCCGGTACTGGGTGCCACTGTTTAAAATATTTTTTGATAACAAAGTTTGATTGATAGTATTAATTATTGTTTAGCAAAGATTGCGTTTTTGTTAATTTAGTTTGATTTTTAACTTTGTTATCTAACATAAATCATAAATTAATAAATATTTCGTAAAATATCTTTTGGTTTATTTATAAATAACCTTAGGTGTCCCCGGGAAGTCCGTAAGGGAACTTCCCCCTATACACAAAACAAATTTTTATATACATATATATATATATATATATATATATATATATATACATATATATTATACAAGATAATTTGAAAGTGATACATTGGTAAATTAATTACAAATGGGTTCAACTAAAAAATAGAGAAAAAATATAGTATAAATTGGAAAATGAACCAATAATCACAACACATGAAAAGTTTTGAAAATTCAAAATTTAAATTCATAAAGTTTAATTGAAAAAAAAAATCAACGATTAAATCAAAATATCTGTACTGATATCTTACGAACTATAGTTTTAGGACTAAGATTATGTGCAACAACTTGGACTGAAAGTATTTTATTGAAATTATTTTTATTTATTTTCCAAATAATTGTGCAGAATATAATATTTTGCAATTTTGATATGTGTTTTTTAAAACTAATATTGTTGTTTCCCGCAATGAACAAAAAGATGTTGAAATTAAAATTGTTTTCGCGGTTGGTTTTCAGATATCAACGCGTTGAATAATGTTTTTGTATTAAAATTCTTTATTTATCAACTATCTCTGATAATGTGAATTAAGTATGTATATGTAAAAATATGGTAAATATATGTTAATTTACTAGACTGTCCGAGGAGCTGCACATTGGCCATGTGATTACCCAGGAGGACCTGTTATCATAGGAAGACCTGAACAGTGTAGTAGGCTAAGCTGGGTAAGCCTACCCCAACTACTTTATTCTATCACTAAAATATTGCATATATTTAATAACAATTTTTATTTTTTTGTATAAACATGAATACTAACGGGCTTAGTACTAAAATTATCAAATTAATAACATTTTTAGCGCGGTAGAATTGATGCATATAATTATGGCGAAGAGATAGATGACCTTTACAGATATAGATTAGGAATTCAAAAATGGAATAAAACTAATTACTGGTCTATTGCAAGTACTTCACCTAGAACCATCCAGGCAGCGTTAGTATTGGGTGCAGGATTAGAAAATAAAGTTTGTAAAATCATTGATTTATTGATGAATTTATAGTTTTTTGTAGTATAGTTATAACCAATTAAGTAACCAGCTTAGGTGAATAGTTGACTTCAAAATATAATTTTGTAGTTATGAGCTATTAGTTAAATCAATATCCAATTAATAATATATTTTGTTATATTTTGAAGTATCTATCTAATCTTGTTGCTACCATTTTCAGCCGTACAAAATAAATAGAATATGGTCTACAAAAAGTAAAGAAAGCACACAATTTCCTGCAATGCAGCAGGTTTGTATGACATAAAAAATACGGTATAACAACATTTTTACATGAGTTACTAATCTGTCAAAATCCACGCAGTATTTAAGATTTTACAATAAAGATCAGTGCCCTGCATACTTAGAAAATGTTTTTAGTGAGAGACGCCAATTCAAGGAAGTCGATGAAGATTTCATGAAGGTTGTTAGTATTTTCGAAAAAAAATTATCCAAGAAAAAGTTGGATGTTTATAAAAGACCACAAGATGTCTGGCTTACATATGAGTCTATGTTTAATGTGGTAAGTAATATAATATTATATTTATTAATATAACCATTAACTAATATTGTATTGTAGTTTTATTCTTATAAGAAAAAATACCCACATAAGTTGAAATATTGGAAAAAAGTACGCAAAGAATTTAAGGAATTTTCTCAACAATTAATGTGGACATCATTGACCGGCAGTAATCGTCTACGAAAACTTGCATCAGGTTAATGATTTGTATTCTAATATAGAACTAAGTTATACATTCTACAGTAAATTACTTGAATTTTATTTTTAACTTTGAATTCATTTACCAGTCAATAAATATATCATATCTTATGCCAAAAGCAAAATGTACGAACAACAAAATCAAAGAACATACCTCCATTCCTACTATAAGAACCTATGATATGAAGTAGTTAAACTTTACAATTTAATACGCCTATAAATGAATATGTATGAAAATTTTGATAATATACTTTTATTTTTATATTGGTTCTGACAATTTTTGAAATTATTACAGGCCCCATAACATATGATGTAATCAATGACATGGATAAATTAACAAAAGATAAACCACAACCTCTTGCACCGGGAAAAGAAAAAAATAAACTATCAGTTTTAACAGTACCTCAAGGAGTTTTTGCAGCGTTAGTAACTGGATTTGCTCCAAATGGAACCACAATTAATGGAAAGGAATTTTCTGCTTCTGACCTTTATCCTGAACATGGTGCTATGCATGTAATAGAACTTTACAAAGAAGGAGAAAATTCATGGAAAGTAAAGGTAATTACAGTAAGATAAAGGTAACTTGATATATTTCGAAAAAATATGCCAAACTTTTATGATTTTATCGTGATTAAGTTTTAATAACTTATCAAATATAGTAGCGTTTGCGATAACCACTAGAGAAATTTTAATGAAAAAATAATAATAGAATATCTGATTACTGTTAAATTGTTAATTTTATTCCGATTGCTGAAGTATTTGCCTAATTCTCTTGATAACTTGCTTAATTGGTAATTGAGCAATATTTACATTCAAAAATTTATGTGTGATGAAATAATTTATCATGAGAAAAAAGATTTTGTATTTACCTCATGCAAACAATTAAATTGTGTGTTAATAATTGCAATGAGACTTGTTGCTGAACTGAAAAAAGTTTACTGCCTTTATTTTGAAATAAAAGGAACTCAATTTTATATTATTTGAAAAAATTAACATCATATTGTTATTCATTTTTCAGGTACTATACAGAAATAAAAGACATGATTGTTTAAAGGTTGTTCAAGTGCCTAATTGCCAAAATCAAGATCTATGTGATTACAACACGTTCAGAAACTCACTTGATAAAATTAGATTAAATAATGACGCCCATAAAAAACTTTGTAACGAGTCGGATTTGGAATAAAAAAGAAAATGTTTATTTTCAATTTTTGAATGTAATTTATTAACAAGAATTTAATGTGGTAACTTAGAAATAAAAGAAGCAAAACATAATCTTATCTTTATTATGTTACATTATGTAATTAAAAGATATTTTTCTATGTGTATTTATATTTTTCATATCTTTAATATAAAAAATATTGTGCACATCATCTGATAGTTATGTATATGTACATTATACGTTTTTTTTTGTATATACTTTATTTAACAGCAATCAGAATTTACAAAATTCTATGTCACGTTAAATTGGTAGAAAAATATAGTAACATGTTATAAACCACACATTTTTAACTTCCTATTCGATGTTTTCTCAACGTTTCTAGCCATTCTGAATCGAATGAGATCAAATTTGGAAATATATCTGTGTGTGTACAGATTTTTTACCTGGAATCGACGTTTTCTAAAAAACGGCTGAATCGATTTCAAATTTGGAATAAAAAAGAAAATGTGTATTCTCAATTTTTGAATGTAATTTATTAACAAGAATTTAATGTGGTAACTTAGAAATAAAAGAAGCAAAACATAATCTTATCTTTATTATGTTACATTATGTAATTAAAAGATATAAAATAATTAAAACTAAAGGTAAAATTATAATATAAACTAAATAATCCGTGAAACTGTTCCAATGAACAGCTCACTATGTTATGTCAAATCCAAAGGAATTTTTCTCTTCAACCTTCTAGTAGAGTAGACGGAGGCATAAGTAGAGGTGCTATAAGATGATTTGGATGGTTTTCTAGCTTGGAGTGATGGATTGAACTTCTGCTGCTAATTACTAATTACATCCTTAATAAAAGGAATATTGAGGTCGTCATATTTATATTTATGCAATCACGAGGCCTGGTTTCCTAATATTGTTTTTGTATGAGATAATACTATCTGCCCATTCGGGGCAAAATAACTTTGTATGGTATAATACTATTTTTCCATGGGTCTCATTGTTAGAGCATAGATTAATTTTGGAATCCGTTGGCAAGTTCATAAATTAAGACTCAACTTTGTGAAAAATATATTTGTATTTGAAATTCTGGTCTAAAAGATTGTTATAGACGAGTGGCCTTCAGAACATATTTGAGCACTACTAAAATGTCGCAAATATTAAAAAAATATGATTCATTTTTTGAAAAGCATTCAAAACTAAAGAGTCCTAAAAGGTGTTAAGATAATTTGATCAAATACTAGTCGGTTCTATAGACTGCAACCCGAAAAGAGTCCAATCTCTGTGTAATCAAGTATTATTACAATTTTTATAATAAGGAGAATGTTTATTCATGCAGCAATGTCGGATCAGGACTATTTGCACATGGAAACATATTGCTATCTATATTTCCTAGTGAAAACCGATGTCACTACTGCTTGACAACAGGCTGCTCGAAGCCGGATCGAATCCAGGACCTCTGATCCAAGCAAATATATTAGGTTAAATTTTTATATTATATAAATAAAATATCTTTTTAGTATCTGAAATACATTGACCTTTGCAACCATAAGGTTTAATGCAGTACTAAGCAGTAGTAATGATATCCATTTACGTTTGAAAATATGTTTCTACTTTTATTAAACTGAGAAAAATAATATTTTTTAACTTCCCGTACGGTAAGTTATTGTAATCGTCCAAAAATCGAAATTGAAAATTTTTACATTTCTTCACGTTTTAAAGGTTTCTGAACATTTTGACATACCTCAGAAAAAATAGATGTGTATGTGTGTGTGTGTATGTGCGTATGGATACAATTTTTTGCCCACGTTTTCGGGCGCACGGATCAACTGATTTGAATGGTTCAAAAAACATTCGATCCCTATTGATAGGGAGAAGTGCTGATTAGTTTTTGGCAAAAGCAGATCCAGTGGTTTTGGAGATACAGAGCTAAATGTGCAAAAAATGGCAGTTTTAAAGTGAACTAAGCATCTGATTTGAATAATTCAAAAACTTTCTGCTTGTTTTACAAAAATAATTGCTTTTGGAAAAAAAATTGTTTCAATTTATTTTTTCATTTTTTTTTTTAATTTTTTTCTCATTTTTATGTGGGTATTTATATTTTTCATATCTTTAATATAAAAAATATTGTGCACATCATGTGATAGTTATGTATATGTACATTATACGTTATTTTTTTGTATATACTTTATTTAACAGCAATCAGAATTTACAAAATTCTATGTTACGTTAAATTGGTAGAAAAATATAGTAACATGTTAAAACCACACATTTGTAACTTCCTATTCCATGTTTTCTCAACGTTTCTAGCCATTCTGAATCGAATGAGATCAAATTTGAAAAAAGTATATCTGTGTGTATACAGATTTTTTACCTGGAATCCACGTTTTCTAAAAAACGGCTGAATCGATTTCAGAAATTTAAAAGCTATTTGATGTATCTTGATAAGTACTTGCGTTTGTTAGTTTTTCGCGACGATAAGCGAAGCGGTTTTCTTGTAAATAGCAGAAAACTGAAGATTTTTTCGTCCAATTTTCTGCCCGCAATTCTGAATCGATTTTAAATACTTCAAAAAACTGTTCAAGATACATTGGTTGGGGGTCAACCTGCTTAGTTATTAACTGTTGAAACATTTTTTTCGACGCTTTTTATGATTTTTTTTTAATGATAGATATCATGATCTTCTAGATCAAACTGAAATATTACGGCACTGCGACAAGTAGTTTAATTTTAAAAATTTGTCAAGTTTGCAAAAATTAGTGACGATTTTTGGCGTTTGTCAAAATTAGACTTTTTATTGACGTTTTCTCAGAAACGTCTGAACCGACTTTAACAATTTAAATGAGGCCATCGTTTATCAGTTTTGTGCGACAATCGGTTAAACCGTTTCTTTGTAATTAGCGAAAAAGTGTAAGACTTTTAGTCCACGTTTTAGCTCACAACGCAGGACCTTTACTCCATATTGACGACAACGTGCTGATAAATTTTTAGCAAAGTCAGTTTTAGCCGTTTCGGAAATGCAGAGAAAAAAGTGAAAATACCGCACTATTTGAATAAATGATCTGATTTTTGAGAAGGTAGATCCAGCACATACAAAATTTTCAGAATTAATAAAAAAAATGTTTTTGTTAAATATCGGAATGGATTCGGTTTTTAATATATATAAACAAAGATTTAAATTTTACGATTTTTAAAGATCACTTACATGACCTTTTTTAGTTTAGTTTAGTTTTAACTTTGCAATTTATTAGTTTAATCTCATTTCTTAGAAATATGAGAATGTTTCTTAACGCAAGGTGAAATATGATATAAGGTTCTTTATTCTCATATATACGGCTCAATTACATTTTGTTTATTTACTTTTCTTTAAAAGTCGTCGTCTAATTTATAATGTGTTTTATTTTGTCTATAAAACTTGTATAATGAATGTTACAGTATTTATAATAACCTATTTGCATTTATAACTAATAACATTTAAAACAATTGTTACTAATTAATTATTATTTGATATTGATTATTAATTTCTATTATAATTATTTTTATTCCACTATTCTCCGGAAAGTAGAATAGAGTGGAATTATTTTTATTCCACTATTCTACGGGTACGGGAAGTTTCAGCAATTTTCCGTAATGCACAAATCCATGCATCACTAGTTTAATTTTTGGCTGATCTGAACTTACGGATCCTAAAAGCTGTTGTGATAAATTACTTACTAACTATGTGGCTTTTTCATAGAAGACAACTCAAACAGTTGTGTATCTACGTAATCAATATCATTATTACAATTTCTGTAATTATGATGAATTCATATTATTTGATGCAGCAATACTGGACAAGGACTATTTTTACTTGGGAACATATTTCTATCTATATTTCCAAGTGAAAACCGTTGTCACTACTGCTCGAAACCAGTTAGAGACGCTCGTACTTGTGTTAGGATTTTATTTTGCTCGCAGAATGATCTTTTATGTCCTTTGCCCCATAGATGAAAGTCATACGCTCACACTTGTAAAGTATGAAATTTTTATAACATTATTTTTTATTTCATCTGCAATCAATGCTATGTATGTTCTCTAAGATTGTGCTTTGATTTCTTAATCTAGTCTTATTAGAATTTAATCCAGAAGTTGAAGATTTTTCCTATCTGATAAGATTTGAAGTAGCTTTATTTTATTTAATATAGACTAGATATAAATATATTTTCACTAGCTATCACATTTTGAATCTATAATTTCAAGTCAAATTCTGATATCACTAATGCTTGATGCCCATAGCAATGATTTCTAGGACAAATTCTTACCATGCAGCCATAGCCAGATACTGTATCAATATGGGAATAGCATATTTACTATAGCTTTAATGTTGCTAATTAGATATAAATTTCAACTGTTTACTTAGAAATAAAGTTTTTGCTTTTAATGAAAACTAATCAATGCGATTTTCAATTCATATTTTTGAAACAAAACATCTGCAATTTACTATTAATAACATTATATCTATTTCAAATATTTACGAATTTTTATAAAAAGTCAGTTAATTTTAAATCATAAAAATTGTTTAAAAAATGTTTTAACCGTTATTTGAAAACAATCGGCACAGCCAAATCTTTACCAAAAACCAATTAACACGATTCCCAACTGATGACTTTCAATCAGATTTTAAATTTTTAAAATTTAAACGTTTCATATATTTAAAATTATTTTGTTTTGTGTGATATGTGATTTATTACCTTGATGAACACTACATTAAACTAGTTGGTATTGGTATTTTGCCTTGAGGCAAGTTACATGAACTTCCCGATTTGTGTAAATAATCGACTTAATCCATGATAGATAAATTAATTCATGAGTAGTTAAAAGTATTCGAAGTGGATTTATTACACATTATTGAAAATCGAACACTTCAACCCGGTCGGAATATTTTTTAAAAGCAAATTTTCAAAAATCATTATCAATCAATTGTTTAGCATGTTTAATAAGACCAAGTACTCTATCGTTATGCCGTTTATTAAAACCAAGTACTCTATCGTTATACTAAGTAAATCGCCTAATTTTAATTTTAACAAATGTCAAAAAAACTACTCATTTTCTCAAACTTTGATTTTTAAAATTAAACTACTTGTCGTAAGGCCTTAATATTTCAGTGGGTTCTATAAGACCATGATATATATCGCCAAAAAAAGTTCCATGAAAATCGGCTTAATTTTTTTTTTCAACGGTTAACAATAAAACGGCTCGGTAGATTTTCACCTAAAACTAATCAGTATCATTCCAAACTAATATCTTTCGAACAGTTTTTGATTTTATAAAATCGATTCGGTAGTATGAGCTTAAATGTGGACGAAAAGTTTAACATTTTTTTCCAAATTACAAAAAAACGGATCGGCCGATCGTCGCACAAAACTGAGAAACGATAATCTTCATCGAGGTACAGGCGTTTTTGAGCAAACGTCGATGAAAGTTCTAATGTTGAAAAATGCCAAAATTACCATACTAATTTTTGTAAACTTGGACGAATTTTTAAAACGAGTGGTCGTAGGGCCGTAAATTTTAGTATGATCTAGAAGACTATAGTATCTACCGTCAAAAAAAAAATATAAAAATCGTCGATTTTTTTTTTTAACTTTATTACAAGAAAACGGCCCAGCCGATCTTTACCAAAATTAATCAGCACGATTCCCAACCAATATCTTTCGAACGGTTTTTGAATTTTCAAAATCGATTCAGAATTGCGGGCTAAAACGTAGACGAAAATTTTTCACTTTTCTGCGATATATAAAGAAACGGCTTGGCCGATCGTCGCAAAAAACTGACAAACAATAGTCCTCATCGAGATACATCGAATGGCTTTTAAATTTTTGAAATCGGTCCAGCTGTTTTTGAGAAAACGTCGATCTGTTCACATACACGCACACAAATACACAGACACACACACATACTTTTTTCAAATTTCGTCTCATTCGATTCAGAATGGCTTGAAACGTCCAGAAAACCAAATTAGCGAATCGGATTTTTTTATGAAAACATAAATTTCTCCTTCGGGAAGTTATATAAACTAGTGATGGATGGCATCGTGTCTTAAGCTTTTTCGTCAGCCATAATTTTGTTAGTTTATCAGTAAGCTGGAAAAAAAGTAAATTAAATGGTAATAAATGATAAATAGAAATGTAGACATTTGTCTACGAGGAAATACTAAAATACTGTTCTTAAATACGATCACACACCCGCAGGTATAAACACCAAAGTGGTTAACAACTATAATATGTAACACAACAACATCAATATATTAAGAAAGCTTATTAATAAAGTATAATAATTATTGAACAAACCATAATTTTTTAAACGAAGTTAACAAAAAATCCCTGTGAAATTTTTTTTTTCTTGTATTGAATTTTCCTTATCTTTTTAACTTCCCGTAGGGCAAGTTATAGTAATCGCAATCTATATATCCTTACGTTTCAAAGGTTTCTGAACATTTTGGCATACCTTAGAAAAAATGGATGTATGTGTGTGTGTGTGTGTGTATGTATGTATGTGTGTGTATGTATGTGCGGATACAAATTTTCGTCGACGATTTCGGGAGCACGGATCACCCGATTTAAATAATTCAAAAAACATTCGATTCGTATTGATAAGGAGACGTGCTGATTAGTTTTTGGCGAAGGCAGGTCTAGCCGTTCCGAAGATACGGGGCAAAAAGTGCCGAAAACGGTAACTCAGTTTTTAAGAGAACGGAGTGTCCGATTTGAATAATTCAAAAAACATTTCACTTGTATTGACAAGATGAAGAATCGGTAAAATTTTCATGAAGGTAGGTCTAGCGGTTTCGGAGATATGGAGGAAAAAGTAAAAAAATGAGCCATTTGGCGGTCAAAAATGATCATTAGACATATGCACATCAAATTATCAGATATTTCATAGAGATTTTAACAATAAGTATACATTTTGTTAACATTCCTATGGGTTCCGTACCAATGCTTATGCGTTAGCAGCGACGCGGGGCTTACGCGCTTTATATTTTGTCCCTATGCAGTTACAGCAGTACGATTGCTTTGAAAAGAAAGTTCAGATCTTCCACAATATGTCAAAATAAAGAAAAAAAAAATTTCGAAAAAAAAAAATTAAAAAAAAAAATTTTTTTTTTTTAAAAATTTTTTTTTCAAAAAATAGTAATTTTTTGTCCAATTTATAGTTTCTCAAAAATCTTATCTTTTCAAAGTATATTTTTTTCAAAAATGTTAATCGTTTTTTAAAAAAATAATAATTTTTGGTACGGGAAGTTCCAGCAATTTGCCTTAAGGCACGATGCCTTAATTGCCTTAAGACAGAATTCCACTTACAGCTAGTTGCTTTTGTATTTGCCTTTGTTAGTTAAGTTAGATTTATTTCATCTGTTTAATCTTCACCCGAAAAGAACAAGAAATACATGTCACAAGGCTCAACCTTACCCACAATATTTGTCATAACCGTACCCAACGCACACTTTTGAAAACAATACATCACTATAACTGAGCTAAATTATCTAAGCAGGTAAAAACTAATTGTTGGTATAAAATATTCAACTTAGCAAAATAATAATAATGAACAAAGTGATCTATCTGTATGCAATTAAGGGTTATTATTAAAAGAATTCGAGCATCAAAACTTACTTTTGACTCTTTAAAAGCAATGCAGACTACTACAATGGTAGTTTAAACAGTCATACTTTATCTTTCTACATTTGAACCATATCTCAAAATCAGAATAGTTTAGCTATTATAACGACTATCACTACCGTACCCTGGTACAACCGTCGCTTGTCTACCCCAAATCATAAAAATTTTGTTGTCTTATCTTAGATACTGAATAATTTATTCAATTTGTTTAAAACATTTATTGCTGAACCTTTTTCTGTAATTAGTAGGAGCATGTCAAGAACACTGCTTTTATTAATATGAATAATTTTTAAGTTTGACTATTAAGGCTTTGCTCTTGAAAACTATCTATTTAAATCTTAAAACACTGAAATAGACAATAACCAACTTAATTTTTTATATAAAATTTTTATTTGATTATAAAATACCTACTATCAGCATATGCACAATTATTACTATTATAGTTTGATTTATCTATCTTCGATGATAAAGAACTAATAATTTTACCAAAGCTAATAAAAAGACGTGTGTACATTGTCAAATGTAAATTTGAAACATGAATAAACAATATCTATTAACAAATCAAAGATTGCCGCATACAAACTTTAATATATACAATATAAATATATATCGAAATTCCATTTTGAGTAACATTTTAAGTATGTTGAAATATTGTACAAAAATATTATCATTGTTTAATCAATGTAAATAAATAATTTATCAAAAATATTATTCGATCAATAACAATATATATATATAAATTTTGAAACTATATAATACTATAAAATGATGTTGTATACCCGAAATCTACATTCCAAAATTAACTTTGCTTCAAGAAGTAACGTAAATTATAGTTATCATGAGAGTCGTATTATTCTTTTGGATTTGCCTAGTGCAGTTCAATAACATTATTGCAAAAGATGAACTTCAGTTTGTTTTTGTTGTAAGAATTATTTTCTCATAAAACTACTATATTGTTAATTATATATACTATCAAAAAAAATTTATCAAGTCGCTTAATAAAATAACATAAAAACATTTGTAGATGGCAAGAGGTCCAGATCATCGAGCTTGCGATTATCCTGGTGGACCCAAGTTGACTAATTTGCCAGAAAAATCTAGTGAATTAACGAACGTAAATATTAAAATTTTATTGAATATTATAATTCACATAACATATATACATGTGTTATTTTCAGGATGGCAAAAAAGAAGCTTTCGAGCTCGGACAACTTTTAGATAAAGTATATAGAGGACAATTAAAAATAAAAAAATGGGATTCTAATGAAAATTACTGGCCTGTGGCAACAAATACTAAGCGAACAAAAACTGCCACATTAATTATAGGAGCTGGTCTAGAAAATAATGTATAAGTTAATTTATCTGAAAATTTAAAATGACTTTGTAAATAAAACATATCTATTTTTCTAGCGCACAAAAGCTTTTGGCCAATGGTCTGAGGAACAGTTAAAGTCAACACACTTTGATGCAATGCCAGGAGTAAGAATATATAAAATATAATATAAACTTCCAATAAATATTGATGAAAAATCATTCCAATATTCTTATTTGATTACATATTAACATTTTATGTTTTCAGTTTCTAAGATTTTTAAATCCTAGTGAATGTCCCGCATACTTTAGGGAATTCGGGCAACAAGCTCCGAATGTCAAAAAAATTACAGATAAGTATCAAGATACTATCAACGCTATTAATTCCAAATATGAATCTATTGGAACCGCAAAACCAGAAAACGTTTGGCTTGCTTATGAAACGTTTAAAAGAATGGTAAGCATACACACACAAATATATATATATATATATATATATATATATATATATTTTATTTTAAATATATTTATATTTAAATTCTATTTTATTTTAGAAACACCAAAAGAAGTCAGACATGCAATGGCTTAATTCAACTATAATGGAAAATCTTAAGCAGTTTTCGTCTCAGTATATACTGACAGCTGTAACATCTACAGAAAAGCTGAGAAAATTAGCAGGAGGTATTGGAATGATATAAATTTAATAACTTTATAAAGAAATTTAGTTGTTTTTATACAATTTTAGGATTAATTCTTAAGGACCTTCTCAATGATATGGATGAACTAACTAGTGGAAGAGCACAACCGCATGCTCCAGGGAAACTAGATAATAAAATGAATATATTTGTGGTCCCACAGGCACTCTTAATAGCTCAAATGGCTGTATTTACACCAAAAGGTACCAAAATAAGCAATCAAGATGTAACGGCTTCCAATTTTTACCCTGACGATGGATCTTATGTCGTAATTGAGTTGTACAAAAATAATCAATCATGGAAGGTTCAGGTATTATTTGATTCTGTGACAATTTAATGAAAATACATACGATATTTACTAATAATATTAATAATTTCGTGTAAAATTAATGTAGATAAAATATAAAAATGACAAAAATAGCGGCTGGAAACCACTGAAAGTGAATGGATGCAATGATAGTAAATGTCCATACAATACGTTTAAAAACGCAGTTAAAAAATATATTATAGACGAAGGAAAGCATAAACAATTATGTAAACAATAAAATGTATTAATTCAAGATGCATAGTCAGTTACTGATATGGCAACAATATTAATAATATTTAATAACCATTTAAAATTATAGTTTAAGCATTATAAAGAATTGATGTAATAATATTATAATAAAATTCTATTTTTCTACACGCAACAATCGTTTAAAGTATTAGTAATTAATTTCTTAGAAATAAAATGGATTTTTATATTGATTGATATCTGCGCTGTTAAATAACATAAGTTGTTAAAAATGCAATTTGGTTTCTGTAAGAAAATACGATTTTTCAAAATATGCTCTACGTATACAATAAGTAAATAATTTCTCTAGTTGAATAATTAAAATTATATACGTATTCATAATTTAAATACTCGTCCGAATGTTGAAGAAAACTGTTGTGAAATGAATGTTGTAAAAACTAATTGGCTGCAACTTTTCATTAATAAAATTTTGTCGTAAGGACAATGACGATTCTTCATACTTATAAACTAATGCTATTTTGTTTTGCAAGACGATCATTAATTATAAGTAATAAAAACAAAAGTTTTCTCAAATAATGCTAAATCGATTTTGAAAATTCAAATAAAGTTCAAAATCTATCAGTTGAATAGTTAATAGTAAGTATACAAGTAGTAGTAATTATAATTTTTTTTCGTTCTTTGTGATGAAACTTCTTTTGATGACGGAGTTGATAGTTTTAACAAACATCAATAATGAAAAATCTTAAAATAATAAAATCATGGACTGTTATAATGATGGGAATTATTTTAAAAGTTCTTAAATATCTATTATAATTAATTAAGTAGATTATATACACATATCGGTAAGATTTGGCAACATGCCTTTAAGCTCATATATTAATAATTTGATTTTGGCTTAAAAGTATTAGCTATTAATAAGTTTGGCAATAGCAGGTTAAATTTGTTGATAACATTTTTTTTGTTGCATGTGACTTGAATTGGTAGAAATCATATATGTTAAGTTTTGAACAACCTATATATGTATCTATTTAATAAAATTATAAAGAAAATTTGAGGAATGAAATTGATTGGCAACAACATTTTATATATCTTCACGTTTCAGAGGTTTCTAAACATTTTGACATACTTTAGAAAAAAGTCGATGTATATGTGTGTGTGTGTGTTTGCATACAACTTTTCGTCGACGTTTTGGAAAACATGGTTAAACTGATTCGAATGATTCAAAAAGTATTTGCGCCTCTATGCAGCTAAAGCAGCGTAATTTCTTTGAAAAAAGTTCAAAATTTCTAAAATTTTTCAACATATAAAAAAAACTTTTTTTTCAAAAAAGATAATTTTTATCAAAAAGTCAATTTTTTCAAAAATCTAATTTTTCCCAATCTAATTTTTTTTTTTGTTTATTTATCATAGCAATCTACACAATGTACATTAGGCTAAAATTTTTGATAATTATGGATTCCAATTTAATCTGTTTTTTAAAAAATTAATTTTTGGTACGGGAAATTCCACCAATTTGCACTAAGGCACGATGCCATAAACCACTAGTAGTTGCTGTAGGTTTTGCTATCATACGAACTAAAAATACAGGTATCACTAATACAATGTTTATAGAATATTTCTAATGAGTTCAACTAAATTCTTAAAAACTGAATGGTAATTATTTGTGCTTTCTCTACTCTCAAGCAGCTAGACCTGCCTTTTCCAAATAGGTATAAACCTTTGATTGAGTTGATACATATTACATACTCCCAAAATAGATGACAATAATTTGAAGTTTTTGAAGAAAGTGTAGTTTTTGTTTAGAGATTAAAAAGAAGTTGTATTGATAGCTATATTTGCTTTTAAAAAATAATTGCTGTTTCAAGATTTAATTGCTATATCATTACCTACGTATTATAATATATATATATATATATATATATATATATATATATATATATATATATATATTATAATATTTATGCAATTTATGCAATTTCAATGCGTAAATAAATATCAAATATTTATTAAATATGACGATAATATTAAGTTATAATTACACTTGCTGTTCTGTAAATATGAATTTAGTTACATGTAGCATTAATGGAGAAAATAGAAATTTTCAATTGCTAGGTTTTGACGAAAATGAATTTACGAAAGAAAAAGTGTTTAGAAAATATATCTCCTCTGGCAGTTGCATTTGTGACAATTTTAAGTACTACTGATATTGCCCAATGTTTTGTCAAAGACAATATAACTCCTACATTAAAATATGCGTTTGCTGTAAGTTTGTATAGAATATTTTATTGATCATATAAAAATATTTTATAGGAGTATATTATTAAATCAGATATGACCTTTGAGATTATCATTTTCTAAATCTCGGTAAAAATACAAATTACTACCAAAGCGAATGTGCGTCCAACACTACAAATGATTTAATAAATATAACTTTAAGAATAAATTAGTAACAAATTTTATAAAATACTATTAAAGGTAACATTAGAACCATCTCATGATCCAACCGACTACTATGGAGGCCCAAAAGTTTTTGGCTCTAGAGACAACATTAATCAAGTAAGTAATTTAAAAATTGGCACATCTATTAACAAAATCGACAATACATATACTGAAAATATTTTTTCAAAATTCAAATATATGTAGGAAGGAATTTATGATATGCTCACATGCGATCTCTTTGCACAACCATATCTAGAAAAATTCGGATTGAAAAAATTCACAAGAAATAATTTCTGGGTTTTTACCAACTTCGAGATTCATAATTTACAAGGTGCAAAATATTTCCAAAAATGCTTATTGAATAAGGTAAGCACCGATAAAATAAATATTTAAATATACATATAGAGTAATTTATTCATTTATTTTGTGGTTTTTAATTTAAGACGCAAGAAGTTGAAAATAAGAAATTTAAAAATATAGAAGAACTTGAAAAATTCTATTATGGCCTCACACTTGAGGTAAGCAATCATAACAAATAATATATATTTAAATAGTAATATATTAACGGATTTTTAAATTTAACAGTTTGAGAGATTTTACGATAAACGCGATTGTCCAGTATATTATGAAGCTTTACATGATATGAGACATTATTTAGATCGAGTCTTCTGTAAAGAATTTGCTGGAATTGACAAGTGTATTGCAAGAAAATATCAAATTAAACGACATGACTATAGAAAACTGTGGCTTTTATCGTTGGCTATGAGGAATTTGGTATAAATATATTAATAACGAATTTGTTCAAGTGTTTGATGTTTTTTTAAACTCAAGTGACTTATATGCATACTATTATATTTTTCAATCATAGGAAAGAGATCTAAGCGAGGATGACGATACCTCGGACTGGGATATCATGGTATATCAATTATATTGCTCTCAATAAAATTTGTTTGGGATGCATTAATGCCCATATTTATTTTATTTTTCAGAATATGTTTTTGGCACCAGTAGTCCGACAAAGACACGAAAACAAATTACGAGGTCTTTCAGAATCAAATTTGTTTTCTCTTAGTGAAATGGGGCAACAGTTCGCTTACCAAACATCTTTAAGTAAACGAATACGTAGAACCACTGGAGGTAGGTTATTTTAAATTATTAAAGTTATAATTAATAATTGAGCATCAATAATAAATTTTTTTAAAAAATGTTTTCATAAAAGTATTGCTTATTTTGCTTTTGGACGATTGAAATCCTTCTCTATCATTTGACATTGAAATTTAACAACAGTATTGTGAGTGTATGTGAATGCAGATTTTGACACCTGTTTATTGGTTTTGAGTGATAATCAACCAAATGTAAGTAATTAATAGTTGAAACGTTTGAAGTACTCACAAAAAGACATAAAAAGCGTTTAAAAAACTATTCAAAAGATATCAGTTGAAAATCACGTTGAATACTTCTACTCATCAAGGAAAATTTGGTTTTAAGATCAATCGAACAATTTTGTATGTAAATAACATTTCTATAAATGCCTGAAAAATTTGAAAGTGGATCAGATAAGCTTTCCTTACATAATAGATGAGCCATAATTTTGTAATCATCGGATAGAATTTTTCATCCATCTTTTCTCAAAATATTGAAACAGTTTTATAAAATGCGAACATATTTTTTATCGTTTATCAGTTTTTCACATTTATCATTTATTTTGGGCCATAACTAATATTATGAAATATTAAATATTGAAATTTTCATTTTATTTTTCTAATATTTTCGAATAATGAATAATTTCTAACTATCAATTGAAAATGACAGCTTTTTGTAAAGATTGAACATTTTTTGTAAATAATTATTAGCTTCATCAAAAATCCTAAAGCAATTTTAAATTGTTTTGTATTTTTGCAAAATATATTAATTTAGGAAAGCTGTCACTAGATTTGTATTAGCGTTGCTTGATTAGTTGATCAGTTTAGCTTTTCTCAAAATGTAGAAAATGGCCAATTAATTAATGGCCAATTAACCTTAATATTTTTACGCCTCCATACATTATATTATATAGTTTTAGTGAATATTATGTGTAAAGATTAGGTTCAGTGTTAAGTTACTTAAGTCAGTAGAATTGTTAATTATTATTTTTATAAATTATTATTTTTTCACCTAAAAATCTTTTTAACAATAAGTAATATTTCCATTCGTATAATTTTGTTTATAATTAAAAAAATAATTAAAGTGGTTCCAAAAAATAGTAATAAATGAGGCATCATAATAAAGTTTCACAAATCCATAAATTGTCCTGTATTTACAAAAGTATAATAAAATAGTTGCTATTGAAATAATTCAAATTTTAGGTCGTCTTTTGAAGTACATAATGGAAACTTTAGAACGCGTTAAGAAAGGCCAAAGACGCAGTATAAATCCTAAGAAAAACAATCTAAAAATGTCAGTATTTGTAGCACCGACACAAGTATTTATCGGCTTACTTTCAGCTTTGAAACCTAAAGGTACTTTAATTGATGGAAACACATTCAATGTTACCAATTTCTTTCCTGATGTAGGCGCAACGATTGTATTTGAATTACATAAATTGCGAAGAAATAATTGGAGAGTTAAGGTAACAATTAGTTCACCCATAATTATATAATAAAATTATATATATATATATAAACAAATAATCCATTTGCAGGTTCTTTATAATCAGCACACCTATGGCGATTTTCAACTTTTAACTTATCGTGGATGCAATAAATTTAAATATTATCCTGGATATTCTTGCAATTGGAATACTATTAAACGTATTATGGAAGATAACTATATGCATAAAGGAAAACCTGTCGATTTTTGCAGATCTCGAAGGCACCACCATAAACATGTTGAAATTGTACCTAAAGCCCACACTATCCACGGAAAGTGATAAAAAGTAATTGGAGATTTGTATTAAAAAATATGTAAAAGATATGAAAGATGCAATATTAGAAAAAACTTATCGAAAAGAAATTGTAAATATATGAGAGTTATAACACCTATTTACTTTGCAATTCTATGTTTGCTACGTTTATGAAGTTTTTGCTCTGCAAATTAGAGCACAAATGGGGATACTGACTAATTTGTGTCGTAAAAAACAATTTGTGTCCCTTTTATTATATATTTCAAAAAACATCATGCTCAACATTAGTAATATTTTTTATTAGTTAATTAGTTTAAAGTTTCAAGAAATACCTCATATACGTAATTTTTTCAATAGATGCCGACTATCTTTTAAATCAATTAAATCTGAACTAATAGATTAGATTTAATTCATTGCACAAGCACATTTCATTGAATGAAATCTATTTACAATTTGATGTTAAATTATTACCTAAATTAATATTTGTGATGAATTTAGTTTTCTTTGACACTTATTACAACGTAAAATATGACGACGAATATATCTTCACTTAAAGTAATACTTAAATACAATGTATTAGATAAATAAATTGCATTACTCTTAAATAAATAAATTGTGAAATCACTATTGTTGTAAATAAATACAAATACGTATATAAGATTTAGTAATTATTGTGGTAAAATCATACTGAAAAACATTATAATGGTGGTTATTTTAGCAATTATTTCAAATTTTTCTCCTTATGTCTTTTCAGAAATATATGACAAAATTAGTTATACAAATTTATTAGAGAGTTGTTCAGCAACACATTTCAAAAAAGAAAAATTTAATACTAGTGGTGCATGGTATGGTACCAAAAATTAAATTTAAATTTAATAAAAATTCAGTACTTATTAGAACTTTGAAAAAAACTAGATCTTTGAGAATTTTAAAATATTTGATTTTTTTGAAATTTTTGGATTTTTTATACTTTATAATATTTTGAACTGCTTTTTAAAGCAATCGCGAATTTGCGATACGTTAGCTACGTAGAAACGAGAAGATATGATATAAAAATAAATAAAATAAACAAATAATTGGTATAGTTACTTGCTATAATCTATCAATACATTGTTAATTATTATAATATTGGACGTAAAAATATTATGAATTCAAAATTTTTCAAAAAAGCACTATGATTGCAGTTATCGGCGAATTAAATGGAATTCAAAAATGTTGAGGTAGCCTGACTACCCTGCTGCCGAAAATTGCATGGCGTGCGTAGCAGCCACGTAGCAGTCACGTAGCAGGCGCAATAATGGTTTTCCTATTACTAAAATGGTGATTTGATAAACTTACGAAATCTATTATAACTAATTATAAGAGAGTAATTTAATTATATACAAATGACTATTTTTGTTTAGAGTGCCCCATTCGAATCCAAATGTATGACATTTACTAACTTTGGAAAACCGATCCCCCATACCCGTGGTTTACCCCCTCGAGCCCCCATTGAGTGGTTTATCTTTGGGTCAATGCACGGGATATCAGAATTCATTTTAGATGTTTGGTTTCTTCAGCAAAGTACCTTATTTTGATCCCTAGTATCCGAAAATCATATGTGCCCTAATAAATAAAAAAAAAATCATTACAAAACCCATCTTGTACATATATTTGTATGTTTATTACAATAATAAGAACGCTTAATAAAAATTATGTTATTTATGAATTATAAAATTCACTTAACAAATCATTTTCTGTATGTAGCAATTTAAAATAAAAAAATTGCCGGGCCCAAAAAACATTTGCAATGTTCCGGCGCGTTTCGGCTCGACAACACCACTGACAATATTCATGTAATTATGCAATTTAATTGCGTAATGAATAAATATCAAATATTTTTTATACATGACGGTATTAAATAATATTAAATTTATTACACGTAGTATTTATTGAGAAAATATAGACATGTAGACACTTGCTAATTTTTGACGAAAATGAATTCACGAAAGAAAAAGTGTTCAGATAATATATCTTCTGTGGCAACTGCATTTGTGATAATTTTATGTACTACTGATATTGCCCTATGTTATAATAATGACAATATATCTTCTACATTGAAATACGTGTTTGCTGTAAGTATGAATAGAATATTTTGATGTTTATTTAAAAATATTCTATAGAAGTATATAATTAATTCAGTTATAACCACACTTATCTATGGATATAACCTTGGAGATAATCCTTTTCAAAATCTCGGTAAAAGTACAAATTAGTACTATAATACTATAAATGATTTAATAAAACTAACTTTGTAACATAAATTAGTAATAAATTTCATTAAATACTATTAAAGGTAACATTAGAACCGGCTCATGATCCTACCGACTACTATGGTGGGCCAAAAGTTTTTGGCTCTAGCGACAACATTAATCAAGTAAGTAATTTAAAAAATAACAAAATACACTTAACACATACTGATAATATTTATTAAAAATTTTAAATATACGTAGGAAGGTATTTATGATATGCTCACATGCGATATCTTTGCAAAACCGTATTTAGAAAAGTTCGGATTAGAGAAATTTACAAGAAATAATTTTTGGGTTTTCACCAATTTTGAGATTCATAATTTGCAAGGAGCAAAATATTTCCAAAAATGCTTATTGAATAAGGTAAGTACCGATAAAATAAATATTTAAATATATAGAGTAATTAATTCATTTATTGTGTGATTTATTATTCAAGACGCAAGAAGTTGAAAATAAGAAATTTAACAATATAGAAGAGCTTGAAAAATTCTATTTCAACCTTACACTTGAAGTAAGCAAATATACTAAATGATATAAATATATATATATATATATATATATATTTAAATAATATTGTATTTATATATTTCTAAATTTAACAGTTTGTGAGATTTTATGATAAACGCGATTGTCCAGTATATTATGAAGCTTTACATGATATGAGACATTATTTAGATCGAATTTTCTGTAAAGAATTTGCTGGAATTGACAAGTGTATTGCGAGAAGATTTGAAATTGAACGTGACTATAGAAAACTTTGGCTTTTGTCGTTGGCTATGAGGAATTTGGTACAAATATATAACCAAAACAAGTTTGTTCCATATTTTTCATGGTCATTATACATTTATTAATATATTTCTCCAAATATAGGACAGAGATGTACGTGAGGATGATGATATATCCGACTGGGATATCATGGTAAATTAGTTTTATATTGCCCTCAATAAAATTTGCGACCGTTAAGTGGTTAATAGCAATATTTTTTTATTTATGTAGAATATGTTTTTGGCACCAGTAGTCCGAAAAAGGCATGAAAAAAAGTTACGAGGTGTTTCAGAATCAAATTTATTATCTCTGAGTGTGATGGGGCAACAATTTGCTTACCAAACATCTTTAAGTAAACGTATACGTAGGACCACCGGAGGTAAGTTATGTTACATTATTATAGTTATAATTGATGATAATAATACTTATAATAATGAATTTCCTTTAAAAAATCATATACGTATTCCGCTTCCTTTGTTTTTTGAACGTTTGAAATCCTTCTGAATCATTAAACATAAACGTTTGAAAACTGTATTGCTAGTGTAAATACATACTTTGACACCAGTTTATTAATTTTGAGTGTTAATCAGTCGTACCTTCGTAATTAATAGTAAATTAAAAACGAGTCTTAATATTTGTAAGTTTAAAATTTTAAAAGATATTTTTGGAAAATCATTGTGAAAATTTTCACTAATACAGTTGATTATATTTCGATCGATCGATCTCCTTCGTAAATAATGTTTTTACAAGCGCCTTGAAAATTTACCAATCTTTTGATAGATTTTCTTCTTTACTAATTATGAAACATAACTCTACCTACATGATATAATCTGAGCCACATTTTTGTTATCATTATATATTAAAATTTTCTCAAAAAATTCAAGACTAATTTATGAAATGTAAAAATCTTTTATAGGACAGGATAGGAATTAGCTTGTTGTCACATTATTTATTTCTTGATAGTAGTAATATTTTAATTTTTTTTTCTATTTTATAGAATCATTTCTGAATTTCTATATTTGTTTACAAATCATATTATGCTTATCAGTTTCTCAAAGAGATTCAATGAAACATTTCTTATAATTAATTATTAGTAATTTTAATTTTTAGCTTTCTCAGAAATTATATAACTGAATATAAAACTTTTATTATTAGTGAAACAATAACAATTGTAAACTAGTGGTGTAAGGCATCGTGCCTTAAGACTAATTGCTGGAACTTCCCGTTCCGTAATGATAAATATCCGTAATTATTATTAGGTGTTTTCAAATATATTATTATAAATACTATAACTTTCATTATTCGTATTTTATAGTCAAAATGTAAGAGCTTATAACTGAATTGAAAAGTCAAAATTATCTATTTGAAATATATATGTTAGCTTTAGATTTCAATCCAGAATTAAAATCAAAATCCGAATCAGTTTTGGTATTCAAAAAAATATTTTTTTAAAAATAAAAAAAAACTTAAATTTTGAAACATGTTTTTTGCCTTTCCTAAATACTAATCCTTTCTGCATACTGACAATACAAGCAAAATGTTTTCTGAATATGAAAAACTACAATTTTTTGCACATTTAGTTCCTTATTACTTTGCCATAAACTAATCACCACTTCTACCCATCATTACGAATTGAATTTTTTTTTTTCAATTATTCAAATCGGAAGCTCTGTTCTTTTAAAAAGTGAGTAAAAAGTTGCTCTTTTTGTATCTCTAAAACGACTAGATCTGCTTTTGCCTAAAACTAATCAGCACGTCTCCTTATCAATAGGATTCGATCGCTTATAGAATATTTCAAATCGGTTGATCCGTGCTCTCAAAAACGTGCAAGAAAAATTGTAACCATACATTCATACAAATACACACGAATGCATTTTTTCTGAGGAATCACAAAATCTTCAGAAATCTCTGAAACCTCTGCAACAATTTTCACATTCGATTTCTGGACGATTACTATAACTTATATGCAGGAAGTTAAAAAACAATTAAACTTGTTCTTGCAAAATAGTAATAAACAAAGTATTATCATAATAGTATTTCGACAATCTAAAAAAATCGCTATAAATTGCATCAAATTTGATAAATAGTACACACGCTGGTTCTCTTATATTATAGCTAAGTAAATTCTTAGAATAAAATTTTTATTAGAATTAATATGTTTTTAATTATAAGTCAGCTTGTAATTTAAATAAGAAGTGAAAAATAAATTAATAAATTGCCAAAATTTTACTATAATAGATATTGCAATAAAAGTACCATAAAATATACACTATTAAATTAATTTATATTTTAGGTCGTCTTTTGAAGTACATAATGAAAACTTTAGAGCTCGTTAAGAAGGGCAAAACAAACGAAATAAATCCGAAGAAGGATGATCTGAAAATGTCAGTATTTGTAGCACCGACACAAGTATTTATCGGCTTGCTTTCAGCTTTGAAACCTAAGGGTACTTTAATTGATGGAAACACATTCAATGTTACCAATTTCTATCCCTATGTAGGTGCAACAATTGTGTTTGAATTACATAGATTACGAAGAAACAATTGGAGAGTTAAGGTAATATATCAACTAGTTTATTTATATCTGTATGTTACATATATATGTATATATATGTTACATATATGTATATATATATATGTTACATATATATGTGTATATATGTATATATATATATATATGATTTAGTAGTTAATTTTGATGTTGAAATATATGAGTGAGTTCTTGAGGGCGATACATCAAACAAAGAAAAGCCAAAGATTTATAAAATAATCTTTATTTCCAAACGTTTCGACATTCAATTTAATGTCATCATCAGTGGATATTACGTTGGTTAGTTACATATAGAGAAGTGTACACAGCACTAGAGATTTGGCACTAACATTTATACAACTAACTTGTCAGCACTATGCATTTTTTTATATAATTTTTTTGTATGATGTAAACAGAAAAATGATAGTTTTAATGAACAAAAATGTAAGTAGAATTATGACATAATTCTACTTACATTTTTGTTCAATAAAACTATCATTTTTCTGTTTACATCATACAAAAAAATTATATAAAAAAATGCATAGTGCTGACAAGTTAGTTGTATAAATGTTAGTGCCAAATCTCTAGTGCTGTGTACACTTCTCTATATGTAACTAACCAACGTAATATCCACTGATGATGACATTAAATTGAATGTCGAAACGTTTGGAAATAAAGATTATTTTATAAATCTTTGGCTTTTCTTTGTTTGATGTATCGCCCTCAAGAACTCACTCATATATATATATATATATATATATATATATATATATATATATATATATACATAAATTACCATTTGCAGGTTCTTTATAATCAGCACACTTATGGAGACTTCCAACTTTTAACTTATCGTGAGTGCAATAAATTTAAATATGATCCTAAATATTCTTGCAACTGGAATACTATTAAACATATAATGGAAGATAACTATATGCATAAAGGAAAATTCGTCGATTTTTGTAGATCTCGAAGGCGCCATCGTAAACATGCCGAAATTATGCCTTATGCTCACACTACCCATAGAAATTAATAGAAGAAAATGAAAACGAATTAGTTTTCCAACATATGTAAATATATAGAAGATGCAATATTAGGAAAAATTAATCGAAATTTTGAATACACTAATAATATAAAAACGTGTTTACATACATGGTATAGAATTACTACGTTTATGATGTTTTCCCTCTAAAAAGAAAAGCAAAATTAAGGATAAAAGTATACTGATTATTTTGTGTAATAAAATTTTTATGTCTCTTTTATTAAATATTGACAAGAAATTATTTATTATATGCCCAACATTATGAATTTTTATTTGTTCATAATATTCATTAAAACACTATGATTGCAGTTACCGGCGTAATATATATATAGGGAGAAGTCCCGTAACGCCGGACAATACCTAGTGCCGGACACTCTATTCAAGACGTATTATTTAAGCGAGTTTACATTTGAGTGGTATGCAAAGATAAAAGTAATACTTGATTGTCATTCGTAAAATGGTAGAATATTATTAGATCTTTTAAACAATTTTAGTAGGTACCACCAAATGAACGAAAATGTCTGTCCTTTAGCACCGGACACTAAGTCGTCCCTCAGTGCCGGACAGTAAACATATTGATATTTCTTGTGAGAATTTACGTAATTTATTCCAATTATTTAATTTTGTTCTGTATAAGTGCTAATGGTCACAACATACAGCCATTTATCGTATTTCCTAGTCAAAGATTAAAAATCTTATGGTAAATGCACCAGCTGATAGTGTATCCCAGCCAAGAGGGTGGATAATAAGTGATTTTTTTTGCAATATCTAAGAATATTCGTCAAACACACATATGCAGACATTCCTGAGTGTGCCGATGGCTACATATGTGTTCAATGCAGGTTTTTTTGAAATGTCCGGTACCAGGTGCCACTGTTTAAAATCATATTTTTTACCATCAAAGTTTGATTGATGGTATTAATTATTTTTTAGCAAAAGTTGCGTTTTTCTTAATTTGGTTTGATTTCTAACTTTGTTATCTAACATTTCATAAAATTTAATAAACGCTTCATTTTTTTATTTATTTATTAATAACCTAAGGTGTCCTCCACTAGGGTACTTTCCCCTAATTCAAAAGTAAATAGTTGAGTAAGCCTGATTACCCTGCAGGCAAAAATTGTTCCGCGTGCATAGCAGTCACGTAGCAGGCGCAATATTGGATTTCCAAGTACTGTAATAGTTTGTTGGTAAACTTACGAACTTTACAACTAATAAAAAAATTAGTTTAATAAAATAAAAAAATAACATTGTTTTTAATTTTTAAGAGAAATTGGAATTTAACAGATCCATGAGCTCTTAAAAAGAATATTCTTCATAACAACGTCGCTTTTATAGAAAGCAACACATTTCATATATTTTTGTTACAAGAATTTCTCTAATTGTAAGACTGATGCATTATTTAGAATTTTTAAGTTAGGGAAGGACTACTTGAAAACATTTTTATATCTGTATTTCAAATGAAAACAGATAACTATTGCTAGATATCAGGCTGTCTAAGTTAATTTTGAAACTAACGCTTTGCAATTGCAAAGCGCTCTTACCATTGATTATACTATTGAGTATTGAGTCACGGAGAAGCCGATTTAAACAAAATTGTAAAAAAAATGTAACGATAACTATTTTTCTAAAAAAAGATTTTTATCTTGATATACCTTCTGAAACAAAATAATTGTGTATTTTGGTTTTTCCACAAAATTGAAGGTAAATTGTGATTGAACTAGCATTATAATTTACAAAATAGTTTAATATTAAAATATGAAATTATATAATCTAATTGTAAGAAAATATTTGCAGACAATTTAGCAAAATTAAATAATTTGCAATACTAAAAATACTTCACCCAATCTGTGTTTTTTTTTTAATTTTAAAAATAAATAACTGTTTAATTATTTTTGCATGTTTTGTGTTTTTTATTGATTTAAATATAATTTCATTAATCATTTTTCAACGAAATAGCTATTAATATTTTGTAACAATATATTTCAATTCAATTTAAAATACTTAAAAAGAATTTGGTTCCTCAACGTGGACATAAAATAGCTTCACTCAACTGTTTTTGTAACATACTATAAAATAGATTAAAGAATCCTATCATAGTTCAACATTTATTTAGGTATCACTTTAGTTTATAGAAAGGTATTACTTTATGATTGCTTAACAAATTTATTACAAAAAACTTAATTTTTTGACCGAGTTGTAGCAAATTTGTACATAATTATATATTGAATGAATTAAAATATTTCATGTCTGGCAGGATTAAATTTTTTTAGTATACGATCCACAATCATTAATCATATCATCATTGCAATAAGCTTTAACATTTCAATCTGTTCAGCTGGATATAATCCCCGTGTTGAATTTTGAATTAATGATTTTAAATCACTACATCGAATATATGTGTGAAATATTTTAGATAATCAGAAAATAGGTGTGATTTGTCATACTTAAAAATGAGCAATTCCTAGGTTATGATTTGGAAAATAGACATTTAAATTTAAATAATTTCAATCAATAAATAAATTAATCATTAAATTGTAATATTATTTTTTAAATAAAGACATCTCTACGGCATAATTATTATTATATAATAATAATTATTATTATATAATTATTATTTGTATAATATTGTGTGTTATTTGCTTTATTATTTAAAGAGTGCATTAGATACTGCGTTTGAATATAATTTTCATTTCTATTATCAATCTATTTTGTAATAGAATCTAAATATTTAATTTGTTTTTTTTTTAATTAAATGACATACAAATATTCTAAAAAGCCAACATAAAATGTATACACATCCTATCTATATCTAAAACATGGACAAAAAATTCCATTCTTCCTCTGTTCAACTCCTTTGGTATTATGCATTTTTTGATAATGCAGAATTTTCTCAATTCGTTTCTAATAAACAATTTCTTATCAAATCCTTATCTATGTAGTTTAAACTATTTGGTCTTTTGTACAACCATATTTTTACGACTGGAGCATGATTAGTCTTAAAAAAAAGATCTCGTATCAAAGTGAGCATGATGTCTATATATATATAATGCACTGACCATAAGCATTTTTTAGTAGATTATAAATCGATAAATGCTACCTAAAAATACGGCATTTTTCTTGGGCAAAAGGGATTCGGCAAATATAACTCGAGACATTTTTTTCTTACAAAGACCACCCGCATCAAAAATAAAAAATTATAGAAAAATAAGATGTATTATGGTTCACTCCGAAACAACCAGTCTCAGGTGTAATAATTACATTATTACATGAAAAACATACTATTTTAATTACTTTAGTGCAACATTTTTTTTTGATGATTTCTAATAAATCTTACCATAATTAGTTACCATTACAAATTATATAAGAAAACAAATGTTAATTACCTACTTATTAGAAGTTTTTGAGTATACGATTTGAAATATTAAAATTTTAAGGTACTTTTATTTAATAGAGCACTAAGAAAATATTGACTTTCATATCAATAAACTTGCAGCCAAATTATATGATACAATATTACTTGCTAAGTCAATGTGTGATTATCATAAAGCTATACTTCTAGGTTTGAAACTAGCTATTATTAGAAGTTTATATTATTTTTATTTAGCCTAAAACAGTTAGTTGAATTTTATTAGTTTAGTTTAGTTTAGTGAATTCACCCTATTAGTTTAGTTTAGTTTAGTGAATTCACCCTATAGTTTAACTTTTTGCTTAATAATAATATTTGGAGCTCAACTGGGCAGATTGTAACATGATTCTCTTTATAAATTAATCCATAATTTGTAAATTGTATCTACAGTTGTAATTATTTAAATAAATATAGAAACAAATCAAAATGATTTCGATTAGTTCGTATTGTTAATATTTTAGACTAGTCTTAAAATTATTAGCTAAGCCCTTTCTTTGTAATGGTGTAATAATAAACTTTTAATCAGATTTACTTAAAATTTACCCACTGGGGTAAATACTTCATATAATTATATGTAAATAACGTAAATGCAAATAATTTATAGAATTTATTTATGTTCTGATGATTATTAATAAAAGAGAGAAAAAAAAATACTTAAAATGCTTTAGATTGATTACAAATTTTAAACAAGCAATTTCGCTTTATATATTTCAAATCAAAGTCTTTTTGAGCGAGTTTATTTAAAAACCGTACTAATTAATGTTGTTTAAAAATCGCCTGCACCATATTTTTTGCAAAGAAACAATTGCATATTCCAAACTAAAATCGTATTAAGCAATGTATTCTTAAAAAAAAATCGAAATAAAAACGTGTTACTACCGCATTTTTTGAAGTGATTTTTTGAACAAAATCAGTCAACCGTACCTAGCATTCACCTTTTGCACAATTGAGGATTCAGCAAGGTGTGACAAAAGAAAAAAAAACAGAGTAATACGCATTCTTATTTTTGTTGTGAATGTAACCACATATATAGCAAGTGTAATCAACCATGATACTTGTTTATTTATCTTTTTTGAATTTGTCGTGCATCGTATATAAAGTTGTTTGTTGTTTGACGGACAAATACGCATGTTGCTGGTGTAACTTGTCAAACCTTACGTATTTATCATGCTCAATGACGTAGTTACTCGAATGCATGAAAGAAGTAGTCGAGCAGGGAAAAATTGAGGTTGTACTAACTTGTACTCAATACCAAAAAAAGAATTTACACTTGCCTAAAATATTAAGATCGATTTACCGGATACTATCTTACAGATTTTTTATTTACTATATTTTATCTGATAACAACAAACAAAGTGCTATGTCAAATCGTTCAAAAGTTACATGCGTTTAAATGTTTCTAACAAAATCCCAAAAATATAAGCTGGTGCTGCATCAAAATTTTTCATAGCATTTTCTTTGAAAGATTCGAAGTGCTAAAAATTATACAGTGTATTCTTTATCAATATAGAAAATAGATGTAACAATATTACGAATGTATTTAAATACTTATCCAATTTCAAATACTTTTCAAATACGAGATTAT